ACTATTTGTTTATCAAAGAATAATTTTTGTTGATTTTATGTTACCTTGTATTTACTAGATTTACATACAAATAATAATGATAAATGATGATAAAATAAAAAGCTTGTGTTTTGTTTGTAAATTGCTTATTTTTTCATTACATTGAAGTTGTGGATTCTATCAAACATTTTTCTACAGGATGTATGTACTGTATTTTTTTAATGTGGCAGTCTTTGAAGCATATCAACTGTGCAAAAAGAGGGCTAAATGTACTCAATGTTAACAGTAAATGCTGTTTTATTATGTTGATATTCCACACTAAAAAATGTGAGGGTCAGGGAATTTGGACAAAGTTGGTCAGGGAAAGTCAGGGAATTCAAAACAAAAATTTGAGTAGGAACCCTGAATGTAGTCTCCTTCGCAACTTATGCACTTATCCCAATGGTGTTTCCACTTTTTGAAACAGTCCTGGAATGCTTTTTCCAGAATGCTTATAAGCTCCTTTGTTGTTTTTTTTTCCCTCTCTCTGGAATGGTGGCAAATCTTTTTCCTTTGAGCATGTTTTTTAGTTTGGGGAACAAGAAAAAGTCACATGGGGCCAGATCAGGTAAGTAGGATGAGTGGGGAAGCACAGCGGTCTTGATTTTGACCAAAAACTTGTGAGTTCTGAGGGACAAATGAGCCGCGCATTGTCGTGATGAAAAAACTACTCGCCGCTCCTCCAAAGTTTGGGCCGTTTTTGCCTGATTCTGTCTCTTAGGGATTTCATAACCCCCAGGTAGTACTCTGTGTTGACTGTAGGTAGGTATTTGTGATGCACAACCTTTGCAACGAAAAAAAACAGTCAACATCACCTTAACATTTGAGCGAACTTGTCGAGCTTTTTTGGGGTGGGGGGATGTTTCACCCACGCGTGGAAAGTTTTTGTGAAGGATTTCCCGAGTTTCACACAAAATTTCACAGAACAATGCTGCTCCTTCAAAGAGCTCATTTCCATGGATCTGATTTTTTGCCGAACCCCACAAACACCCCTTCACATAAACGGCTGTAACTAATCACCAAAACAAGATATCAACAAATGTATTGAAGGAGGTTACTTGGGAGGTTTCTGCAGACACAATGCATCCAAGTGGATTAAAGAATAATCAACTGGAGGCACGCTATTCAAAAAGTTTGGGAACTTTTTGAACAACCTATGTATATATATATATATATTAAATGATATGAACAAAATATTTAATATAGTAATACTTATTTGTTAATTTTGTATCGTAGCAGGTCGTTTTGAAAGACCAATGTCACAATCAAAAGCTGCTCTTAGTTCTATGCTTCGATCAAGAAATCCTTCAGCTCAATTTCTTCCTGGTCATACTGGTAACCATCAGCATCAGTCAGGGGGAACACCTGCTGTTTCCATGCAAGGTGGATTGCCTCCAGGTCATCCTGGAGCTCCTAGACATCCTGGAGGGCATCCTGGTTCAACTGGTCCTAATCCATATCAAAGTATGGAAATGTTGCAAAAGCAGCAAATGATGTTGAGGCAGCAACTTCGTCCACAAGGAATGGCAGTAAGATTAAAATTTTCTGTAATAAAATTCATAATTGAATATCTTCAATTGCAAAATTAAGCATGATAAAAGTAAAAATTCTCAGATTATAGGTGCTACACAAATATAAACACATCATATTATAAAATAAATATTATTTAAATTAAAAGACTATTTTATCTATAGATAATCAAGAATTCTTCAGGATATTCAAAAATGATCATTCAAGTTTTCAAATTTAAAATAAAATAACACCGCAATTAAAAAATTATAAATTTACTTTGTTAATTTAAAGCATTGCAAAATTTGAAAAACCGTTTGCCTTCTGTATGCATGAAATGTTGATACAGGAGAATGAATTAATATAGCGAAAATTAAGTTTGAATGTGCATACAATAAAATATGTTGGATACTATTTTCTAACATTTAAGCCAATTAAACACTTAAATAATTTAAAAATTATGAAATCTATTTATGTAATTAAATGTTAAAAACAAAAATAATTTATCATATCTGTTTACTATTATCAGATGCACTTAACTTTGTCAGAATCTAAACATTCATATCAATTATTTTTATTCTTAAATCAGTAGAAAGATGAAACATTTTCCAATCAAAAATAAAATTAAATCTTCAGTTTTAAATGCAATTTTATATATCCATTCTTTACAGAAAAGATATTTTATATCATTTAATATTTTTTGATAAGATTATGTATCTGTTAACTTTCTCTTTGCATTTTAATTAGTTTATAATCATAATTGTATAAATATAATAATTTTAATGAAAATTCAATATAATGAATTCATTATTTAATGAAGTTTATTCAATTTATTTTTTCTATAGGGTGGAACAAATTTCTCCCATACTATGCCAGGTCAGACTGCACCATTACATCATTTACCGCCTCAAGGTACGTATTAATATTAAAACATATAATAATAAACATTTTAACAAAGTAATGCAATATAGAGTTGGATTATATAGTATTGCTGTCAATTTTGTTATTTAGATTTAAATCACATTGAAAAGTACTGAATAGGTATTGTCACAAGTCTAAAACAATTTTTAAAACAATTATTAAGTCAATTATAAGTCTTTTTTTTATTAATATTCATTTAACAAACCTTCATATTTGTCAAAATTATTTAAAGAAATAATAATTTCTTTTATCAATATGTGTAAATTAATGTACTATGACTTGTTTATAAAATGATAATGCACTATGTACTAGTCTTGTACTGTTAATGTACAAGACTTTGACTTGTTTATAAAATTGCAGTGCCAGCTGGTTACCACCAGCTTGTAGATATGAAGGAGTACATGTCAAGAGTTGCAATTTGGCACAGAGTATTAGGTGCCCAAATCATGCTGTAAAGTACTATCTCATTTTTCTGACTTTTCCAATGATTATCGACACGACTGTGTGCCAGAAATAGCCGTTCCCTAACTGGTATTTTACGCAGATTCACGTTAGTGTGCCAGGCCTGGACTTTTAGCGTGCACCGAAATTAAATAATGACAAAGTTTGTCAATAACAAATCAAATATTTAATAAAAGTTCTAGTAATAAACTTTTTATATTTGTCTGGCAGCCTATTTTCCGACAATACTCGCTAACCTTTTACATTATTCTTTTTGACAATTTACAGGATGTTTTATTCTTTTAAGGTTTAGCGAGTCCCTAAGTTGTGCTTGTGGGGTCTCCCCCCCCCTTTTTTTTCTCAGTGCGGACTTACTTTTTTCCGCTTGGGAGCGCACGTGTGCGCGAGTTTTTTCTAAGGCGCTTTTCTTTCATTGGTGAGTTGGTTTCTCTTCTATTTTTAATTTTCTAAGGCGAATGGTGAGGAAACCTTCTTCCTAACAAAACATAAGCCCCAAACAAAAATATAATAAAAAGCAAAATAAAAGTAAATAAAAATAATGCTCAGACTTGGTTCCTTACAATGCACATATTAAAAAAACCAGACTTGTAGGTACTTGGGACCAAGAACCTAGTCAAAACAAAATACAAAATGGCGACACACTCTACAAACAAGCAGTAGTATGAGATTTGCGCATGCATTGCTTGTTGGGAGGTTGGAAATGTAAATGTTGTGAAATCAAATTTTGACAAATGTGTGCATTGGGTAGTTCGAAAAGCGAATATTGCTAAATCAAATTTTGACATCATTCATTCATTCATTCATTCATTTTTATTTAAGTACTTGGTACATGTCCTGGCCCCACTAGAGCATTACCAGGAAGTTATACATATTCTTAAATATATATAGTTACCAATATTTGTATACATATACAATAATAACAAATAGTAATAAATAGTAATAAACAATATGAGTAAATAAGTTATATTTTAAATACGCTTATGACGTATATTAGAATAAATAAAATTATCAAAACGAATTATAATGTTCAGATAAACAAAAGAAAATATGCTCAGCAGTTCAAAGCTGTGCAGAAGAGCTTTTGGAGTACATTGCAGATGTGTACTTTAAAGTCCTTTAGTTCTAAGCAGAACTTTGTGTGTTAGTGAATATCACTTGGACCCAAGTAAAATCAGTATTTAGAATAGTCCTTATAAAAGTTAGTGGTTTGAAAGTTACTACACATGTCTATAAATAGTTTNATCAGTGTTCAGAACAGTCCTTATAAAAGTTGGTGGTTTGAAAGTTACTACACACGTCTATAAACAGTTTGAAGATAGTTGTGTATATTCATTGAAAAGAAACAAGGTTGAGCCATCAATAAGCCGAATGCCCAGCGAAGGTTGAGGTATGTCGATTATGCTGCTGTTGTCCAGATCATCTAAGCACAAAGGAAACATAGCTGAGCTACATATAAATTGAAAGCCCAGCGAAGTTGGAGTAGGTGAATTTCACTGCTTTGGAGCACATTGAATGAATTAGAGCTCTTAGGTACATAAAGCCCACTTCACAATGCTCTTTGAAGGACCATAGAGCACTTTACACGTTGCACATTGAACTTTGGAGCACTGTATAACACGTAGTACTCGTTGTAGCATATTGCACATGTAGCAACATAAAACACTAGAAATACCATGAAATACTTATAGCACCACACAACAAATCAAAGCACTAAACACAGTTAATCACATTGCACTGTAAAGCACATTTTGAAGCACCGTAAAGCACTAGAGACACCATAGAAAACTAGAAGCACTATAAAAAATATCAAACATTAAAACATTAAGCACATTGCACATTAAAGCACCAAAACACATGAAGCACGTTACACTTGTAGCACCATAAAACACTAGTAGCACCATTCATCACAAGAGCACCAGAAGCACATATAAGCATGCTGAAACACTTTTAAAACACTGGGTGGTTGAAACATTGTGACACACTATTGATGAAAAGCACTTTGAAGCATTAACCAAGCATTGAAACACATTGAAGCTCCAATGAAGGACCTTGAAGCACTTGAAAGCCCATAGGAGTATGGTGATTACATTCTATACATTGAAATTCTCTGAAGTATGCTCGTCACAAGAGACGGTTAGAGCACAATGAATTTCGTTCAATCAAGCTGAGAACAAGCCCATTGAAGAGGCATATTGAAATTATTGTAAGCAGCACAGTAGAATCACCACTACAAACTTATGTCTTATATAAGTCCGCTCTAGTGGGCAGAGACTGTAGAGCTCAACTCAGTCAAAGTCTCAGATCAATGAAGGCCAACATTATCACAGCATGCACTGATAAGCAAAGTGTTGAAGACACACTGCCAGAACTTAAACATAGTTATTTCTCATAGTGGATTAATGTCATAATGCCCAAAGTTGAAATACGGACATTGATATTTTCGATAGGGGTTAAATGTTATAATGTACAAATGTTATAATGTCGATAAAATATAGGATTTCAAAACAGTCACACAAGCAATGGATAACGTGGTCTACATTCAGTTGTGGGACCTCATAAGTACATCACAACTAGTCAATCAGTCATAGACACTTCCCAATAGTTAAGTAAACCAGAAATAATGCCAGGCTCAAGCGTATAAAGCAATGAGCATCCCACGTATACATAGGTAGCCACCACAAACAAATGAATAAAAGTGATGGCGAGAACAAGATAAATCAGAGGTGGATAGTAATTTAATAAAATATATCAAGAAATAGACAAAGTCATANAATCAAATAAACCAAACCAGTTTTAAAAGTTTTTCTATAAACGCGATATTTACATGCTTAACTACCAGGAAACCTGGACAACATCCCTCTTATTAACTCATAAACCCATTGCCCAAACTTCCTATTGAAACTGCTTAATAGTAGACCAGTATTAATCAGTAGTCGTTGACCGTCCTCTCTTCCGGAAGGAGGTCATCTATCACAATACCACGTAAATATTCTATTTTTCCTATAGAAATTTCCCTTTTCTCTAGCTGTTTTAGCTAAAGATATATGTAAAATTGCTTGTAAATAACGAAGTTATATTTCTGTATAATAAACTTTTCTTTTTTAATTTGTAAGGATCATCGATTAACACGTAGTATTTTCTTTGTTAAATAAAAATTTGTAATCTAATTTTGTAAATTTGGGAATGCTTCGAATATGACATTAAAACAGGGTTTTATGTCGTTACAAGTAGGTTTGTTAACATTATCTAGTATAGTAAAATCGTGGGACCGATAAAAATTTGACGTTTTATTAGGGTTGTCATTACATCCGATGACGTTATAATCGGGTTAAACTGTATATTGTTTGTGCAAAATAAAAATAAAAACAATAATTTCGAGCGATATAATAGCCAGGATTATTATTTTCAAAAACGGGAAATTTTCATTAGGCATCAACAAAAATTCAACCCTGGGTGACACGCTACGGAGAGAAATTTCAAAATTAGATAGGTTAATTTCACCGAAAATGCATCGTTTACGACGCGGTGGCCAAGGCCAGCAAAGTTTGAACAATCACGCTCAAAACCAGTGATACCAAAGAAGATTGGAGAATGTGAACGACACCCGCTGTGAGTGTCAAAGTGAGCTTAGTAGTGAGTCTCCGAGACATAGTCTTGTCCCAAATACAACTTTGCCGTTTTACTTGTTATAAATAAAATTATTACATTTCATGATATTAGCTAAGAGAATTCATTTTATTATATTAGTCAATAGAATTGATACAGTTTGCTTCAGAAATATTTATTATAGCTTTTTGATACCATTAAACAATATCTGTTTTAATTTCTGAAATTATAAATGGACTTTTATAATTTTCAACTGTTTCTTTATTTTTTAAATTTTATTTATTTTAGGGTTGACATGTATTTTGTATAAACATTTTTTAGCACTGTAAGAATAGTTTGTTTCAAATAAAATGATTACATTTCTAAAAGTTGAAACAAGGTGAATCGAAAATCAGGTTGCAAGTATAAAAATAATCACTAATAAAATGTTAAAAAATTGCTTGAATGATCTATAATCGTATTTATATTTCATCATTTTGTTATGAATACAGTAGAACCTCGAAAACTCGGCCTAATGTGGACCGAAGGGTGGCCGAGTTTGTGAAAATGCTGGGTTATCAGGAATGGGGTTAAAAAAAATAAGTACGAGTGTTTCCTCAGAAAATACTGTACTGTACTTGTATGTATTGTTTACTTGAGAATATAACAGAGAATAAACTGCCCAAATACCCTTAAACAAAGGAAAAGTA